CAGTATTTACTTCAAAGATCAACATTAGGTGGAATTAATAAGTAATTTATTTGTTAATAATGGCGTAATTAGTGTACCCATCAAATTTCAATTACCAAATGGCAGGCAACAGTCTCCTCTCCCTCCTTTCCAGAGCTTCTGATATCGTTAACATGCTAATTTCCAGCAATTCAGAAATTATAGACTGTCTTGTAAGTATAACTCTAGCCTCAGATCCAGCCTGAGAAAGCAGGATCCAAAAGAGAAAACATAAAACTCTTAGCTGGAAATGACCTATCAGAGATCAGACCAGGCAAGGTGTATATTCTACCTTTAGCTTGTTTTTGTTTGGGGATTGTTCTGAAATAGGAAGTTATTGTTTTCAAAGCTCTGTTCTGTGGAGGTGTTGCTTCTATCCATTCCCATCCTTGGGCCACCTTCTCTCTCACAATCGCACGTAGTAAACGCGGACATATTTAGCTCCGACATCAACAACCCCAGTCAAATTAGATGCTATTAGGAAGGTTCCAATTTTTCTAAGGAAAAAACGAAACAGATTGTCCCTGAAAGAAGGAAAAAATGAAAAGTGCCCATCCAGTTATAATGGAATGGCCTCGCTTTACATCCTAGGGTCGATTTCTCTCCGCTGCCCGCTCACCCACCCTTTGCAGCTTCTGCCAGCTTCTCAAAGCAAGGGCTCTCAGGCCGACAAGCAAGGAACTGGGAGTGGGTAAGGGAGACCTGCGGTTGAGAAAACGAGTCTGGTGGCCTCTCTGGGCCTACATAAAAACCAGGATGCCCCTCGGTCCCAACGCCCTTCCTTCCCCCAGTTAGCCTAGAACCCCTGAAGGACGCGAAGCCTGACTAGGTTGGGCCCGAGGTCACCGCTGAGTCGCGGCTGCCAGACTGCCCGAGGCCTAGGCCAGCAGTAGGGCAGGCAGAGGGCTCCCAAGAGGACCTACAGCCCGGCAGGGCCAGAATTCCCAGCAGGAATCAAAGTTGGGGGGCTGGAGTCCAAAGCGCCTGCTCCCTCTCCGAGCCCAGGCGCCGGACAGCAGCATCCATCACGAACCCGCGCGTTTCCTGATCCGGGTCCGCGCGCGCGGTGCGCCCATTGGTGGGGGCCCTGCACGTGGGGCACGGGGCGGGGCGCGCGCCGGGCTGGGGAGGAGCGGCTGGAACTTTGGTGGCGGCTTCTGCGGGAGGGGGAGGGGGAAGGGTGAACACTTGACAGCGGGGGGAGGGGAAGGACGCAGAGGAAAGGGGGATGGGAAGCGAGGCAGGAGGGGGAGGGGCCTCGGCGAGCCCAGAAAAAACGACAACGCGAGAAAAATTAGTATTTTTGCACTTCACAAATTAATGACCATGAGCTCGTTTTTGATAAACTCCAACTACATCGAGCCCAAGTTCCCTCCCTTCGAGGAGTACGCGCAGCACAGCGGCCCGGGCGGCGGAGACGGCGGCCCGGGCGGGGGCCCCGGCTACCAGCAGCCCCCGGCGCCCCCGACCCAGCACCTGCCGCCGCAGCAGCCCCAGCTCCCTCACGCTGGCGGCGTCCGAGAGCCCTCTGCCTCCTACTACGCGCCGCGGGCCGCCCGCGAGCCCGCTTACCCCGCCGCCGCGCTCTACCCCGCTCACGGGGCCGCGGACACCGCCTACCCCTATGGCTACCGCAGCAGCGCCAGCCCCGGGCGGCCGCCCCAACCGGAGCAGCCCCCGGCGCACGCCAAGGGCCCAGCGCACGGCCTGCATACGAGCCACGTCCTGCAGCCCGGGCTGCAGCCCCAGCCGCCGCCACCCCCGCAGCCTCGCGCGGCGCCCCCCGCGGCTCCGCGACGCTGCGAGGCGGCCCCCGCCACCCCAGGCGTCCCAGCAGGAGGCAGCGCCCCCGCGTGCCCGCTGCTCTTGGCCGACAAGAGCCCGCTGGGCCTGAAGGGCAGGGAGCCCGTGGTGTACCCCTGGATGAAGAAGATCCATGTCAGCGCCGGTACGTGGCGCCGCTGGGGAGGCGCGGGAGGTGGGCCTGGGTTCGAGGGTTGGGGTCAGGAGGGAGAGGCTCAAGGGAAGGGGGCCTCGGGAGGGGAGCCCCCATCTGGCCTGGGCTGCGATGAGATGTGGGTGTGTGCGCGCCAGCCAGCCGCCTGATCCCAACGTGAGAACCCTTTTGTACCCAGGGTCCCTTTATCAGGAGATTTACGAGACGCCAAACTGTTAGGGCAGTAATTATAGCCCCCATAAATTTAATTGCCCTGGCAGAGCCTTCAGGCCATGTGTCTTTGAAGCTTTTCTTCAGCCCCAATGCCCAGCACCATTCTTTATGGCTCTCGGGTGTTTCCCGTTGTCAATAGCCTGTGAAACATTTTCTTTGCCGTTTTATGTATCTTGCGTGAACTTGGTGTCAGGTTATTATATAATGATGATGTCCAATTGCTCTTCCCCACCCCACCTTCTCTCTCCTCCTCCTTTCCCTCTCTTCCACTCCCTCTTCCTTGGCCTTCTCTTTCGGGGTTCTGGGTGTTCAGTCAACCCCAGTTATAACGGAGGGGAGCCTAAGCGCTCTCGAACCGCCTACACCCGGCAGCAGGTCTTGGAGCTGGAGAAGGAGTTCCACTTCAACCGCTACCTGACCCGGCGGCGCCGCATCGAGATCGCTCACACGCTTTGCTTGTCCGAGCGCCAGGTCAAGATCTGGTTTCAGAACCGGAGGATGAAGTGGAAGAAAGACCACAAACTGCCCAACACCAAGATGCGGTCCTCCAATTCGGCCTCGGCCTCTGCCGGCCCGCCAGGGAAAGCACAAACTCAGAGCCCCCACATCCATCCCCACCCCCACCCAGGCACCTCCACACCGGTTCCCTCCTCCATATAATCTTCTAGAGACCTCGACCGGTTTCTATCCTTAACCTCTCTTCTCCTACTCCTTTCCTCGTCCACCCCTCCCAGTCTGGACCATAATAGACACCAAAACAAACCCAACTTGGTGAAAAGGATAACCAAAAAGAAGACATTATCCGGGTAAGAGTATGTGCTGGTTGCCATCCATGAGAGGACAGTTGTCCAGGATGCTGGCTGGTGGAACAACCTGCTGGCCTGAACAAGGCTGCCAAGTGTCAATACCTCAGAAGGACTGCTTGGTATCAAATGCTTTTGAGATGGCTACAGTCAGCTAGCTGGACGGCCCATCCTGACTGGGAACATATACTTGTATCTTTGTTGAAAGCAGAAGAAAACAGACCCTTTCCCCACCTTCCTTACCTCCTTCTCCCCCATTAAGGCAGCTCGTCCAAGCTGGTATTGAACTGAATAAATGAGTAGACATTGTGGACTTCACAAGATTATTTAATTCTTAAGATGTGTAGACCTTGATGTAGGTGTGACATTTTAGTTTCCCTTACTTGCATTTATTTAAGATACTGTCACAGAGATATTGTTGTCCCGTTCTGGGTCACAGTCTTTGGGGAGCGGGGAGTGCATTTAGACTCATGTTGAACTGTACAAATTGTGTTGTGGCTGTATAGAAAGCCATGTGCTAAGAATAAACTCCATTTAAAGAAACATTAAAAATCTAAGATTCATGTGTTTTCTAAGCTTTTCATTAAGAAGACAAAAATCCTCTGGATTGAGATACTTGACCTTGCATGTAAAAACCTTGCAGATGGCTTGAGCTGTGTTCACTTGGATTCTGACTACTCGCATAATTTGTGTGTGTGAGAGAGTTGTGTGTACATATGTTCAACTTGAGCTGAACTCTTGTCAAGCTTGGCCTACTGTGGAAAAGTTCCAAAGAGCAGGAAGGCTCTTGAGCTCTGAGAGGGTTCCTCTTCTTCCCAAACTTGGCCAGGCTTTCAGGCTTCAAGTCTCTGTAAGGCATGGAAACGTGTCCTTCCCTGCAATGAAAGCTGAAACCATGCAGTGCTGTGGGCCCAGGAGTTTCTGCAGCTGTTCTACACACTGAACTCTGAGTACACTTGGAAAGAAGTGGTCTCTTTGGTATTTATTGCACCTTCACACTTAATCTGCCTGTCTCCCTGGAGAAAAAAAGTAGTTTGTGCAAAGGGTTGAGATTACTTTTGTTTCTTGGCTGTTCTTAAGGTCCCCTTCACTAACTGTAGCCTGGGAATTTTTGTTTGTTTGCTTGTTTGTTTCTCTTTTTTTGAAGAAAGAGCTTTCAAATAAACTGAATTTTCCAAGTACACTCTTCAAAGTTTCTTCTGAGGAAAGAAAAAGCATAATATACCCCCAAAGTTCACCCCAAGCAAAGTAGACCTAGGAGAGTTTACTGCTGGAAAATAGCCAAATTCTGAACTGGGGTCACTTTCCTCAAATGCTTTGTGACTTTTTCTGCTTGATTCCAGATATCTAGATCCAAAAGGCTGAAAATAAAACCCATTTCTCAATCTCTATAACCCTAGTATTTGTTTATTGATTTACATTTGGTGCTTACTACAGGAAGTCCCCTATAATAAGATAGCAAAAATCAGTGTACACTAGCCCCAAAATATTAGACCTGTCACCTGGCCTTGAAAAAATGCAGCTTTTAGGTTATGTGGTAATTTTAGCATAGATGGGAGTAGGTGCTCACCTGCCTCTGCAATATCAGAGAATTTTAAAACACATTCCTTTCTTTAGTGGTAAAACGCTTTAGCCAGTGTCAGAGCTGGCAGTCCTTTCATCCCTGCTGCCCTGTGTGTGCTACAAACAAGGATGATCAGTTCTGTACCCACAAATCAAATTTGAGAGGAAAGTGATAGATACGAGTCTCTGAGGAGCCAAGAAAATTCGGGAGCAAACAAATGCACATTTACCTTCCCAAATCAGGATAAACGTGGCATAAAGTACATTTTACAAGGTGTGAACGGGTGCCAGGGATTTCTGGAGGCAATGCAACTGCTGCTGAAACTTATTAACCCTCCCCCTACTACACGTACTTGTAAAACGAAATTAAATCATGCTGAAAATAGCAATTTTCCCAGGAATCATTAATCACCTCATACAATAAATACTTCTTTGTAATTCAACAGCAATTCTGAAAGGCATTCTCTGGGAAAAGTCTGTGGAGGAGAGAGGGATCTTCCTGCAAATAATGTGGTCTCAGGCAAGGACACAGAATCTTGGCTGTCTGCTTAAAAAAAAAAAAAAAAAAAAAAATGCCTAGACTCCTTTGGTGGAAATTGAGTGTCGAGCTACAAAATCTCAAATGGCAGACTATCATCATTTAAGGTAAATACTTATATTTCTCCTTTGTGGGGAAAGAGGGGTATGGGAACATTCATTAGTGTCATGCTGGAGGCAGTTATATGAGGATAAAGGGGATGACTTTCTTTCACTTGCACTTATAAGTCTATCCAGAAAGGGAAGAGAGAGGATTGAGATCATTTTTCTGATATTCTGGGATAAGATGGCATTTTTGTCCCAACTGTATTGATTATTAAGGTACGAAACCAAGATTATTGGAAATGATCCAAATGATTGTCATTTCTTCAGTGTTATGTTTTGCCTGTTTCAGATTGGCTTTTAAGGGAGCTTGTTATAAGAGATTAGAAAATCCCACTTTGTGCTTCAAAATCATGCATTGTCTGCCCTTTGCTAGGGCAACCATAAGAGTTCACCGAGAGGACAAATTTTCTATCTCATTAATTGTTTTTTTTTTTTTAAGCAAACCCTATTGGCCCCTCAAACCCTTGACCTTTAAAGACAGTATTTTGTGTAAGCTCTATAATTCTATGAAAATAACCCTTACACATGCTCTCCTCTGTTTCTCCCTCCCTCCAATACACACTCATCTACTTTAGTCACACAGCCAAGCTGTGCATGACTCCAGAGATAAAAGTTTTGTCAACATCTGAAATCAACCTAAATCGGATAGGAGACACTTTAATGGTCACAGTTTGAATTAAGTACTTAACACTCTCCCCCTTGAAGAAAAATGGCACTTTGCAGGCTTCCTTCCCTAGTTTTGCTGAAATCTACGATATACCCGGTGTTTTATTACAGCAGGAATTCAACTGTGACAGGCATAGTAGAGTACTTAATACCCAGGATGAAGCTCATGGGAAGATTACCTAGATAGATGGGGAAGGAGGGAAGTCCCTGTGCATAGCATCTCCGACTTCATATGCAGTTGTCCCAGGGTGCCCCATTCCCCTACATCTCAGCCTCCTCCCTGTGGGGTGGGGTAGAGTGGATATCACTATCTTTCCTCTGTCCCCCTGTTCCCCTAAGCTTCCAAACTCTGCTGCTCTCCTCACTGTTGCTTTCCCTCTAGCAGTTCCCACATAGAAACAGATCAATGACTCTTTAGAAAGGAAGAGAAGAAAAACCCAAAGAATCAATGTAGCAAAAAAGCCTGGGGCTTCCCATCTGAATGAGTGGGTTCCGTGCAGGCAGTAGGCTGTCCTTGGCACTCCTTTGGTCTCTGCATACCTAGACACAGTCTTGTATTGAAAAACACAGGCTCACCTTTCTCAACTGCTGCTCCTGTTGCCCCTTCTCTATATTATACAGTGGCCCAAGAATAACTCTGCTTTGTGTTTCAAAGAAACACATGGGCTGGAAACAATAGGAGGAAGAGACGTGTGTTCTGTTCCCTTGATGGTATGAGGGAGGCTGCTGTGGCTGTCTTGAAACCCTCTAGTCTGCAACTTATAGAACTCTGGCACCTTTTCTGAAGACTCCAAACTTACAGGGCACCCCCCTCCCTTTCAAGCCAGCTCCACTTTCTCTGGGATTGATTCATCGGGTTGAAAGAGATTCCCAGATTGAAATATTGTCCAAGGTGAAAGAGACCTGGCGGTCATTTTGGTTCAATCTTCTTAGTTTACAGATGAGAAAACTGAGGCAGCTGAATAATCCTCCCTGTATGGTTCCTTATGTTAATGAGTGTGAGGGTGGAGTGCAACCTTTAGTCTTACTCTAGAGAGCAGTAAGGTCACAGGCATCTTTCCTCTTGGGAAGCTATTATGCCAGGAATGGATGTATCTAAGCTTGCACTTGACCTGGATGGCCACAGGTGTGTACAGCCAGAGAATAATGATGGGTTCTTGCCTCATGTGCCATCGAAGGTGCTTGAGGAGATTTTTGTAACCAAACTACCCTAGTCATGGAGCTCAGGGAGGTGGTCTGGCCACTGGGCTTAGGAGGGGACAGACGTCAGGGCGCCTCAGAGAGCAGTGGACTCCTCACTGTCCACGACGTTCAGAATTCCATAATGACTAATTCTGTCATGCTTGACCTGCTATTTCTATGGTGGTGGCTTGCCTCGGACCAGGGCAAGGGTGAATGTGCTCCGGAGGCCTGCAGAGCCAAACAAGGACCCTGGTTGCAGCTGATAAAGGTGTAGTGCCTGTTCGAGGGAGATATTGAAATTGTAATCTTTGAGGTCACGTGACTCATTAAATAATTAATGCAGATCGTCAGGAATGGATCGGAGTCGTCAGGGCCTCACTAGGAATGAATCTCTCAGAAGTGAGACTCCAACTTCCCATTTGATTTTTAAAAACACACACCCTCAGATTTATCTCCAAAAGCTTTTAACTCCTTCAGGAAGGCAGGAGAGAATCCTTTGGAGGGGAGGACAGAGCTGGCGGGCCCTCGCCGGGTCTTGGGGCTTCTTCCGCAGGGTTTCTGCGAGTCCGGGGAGCGCGCCGCGTCCGGGGAAACGTGAGTTCGGGCTTGGGTTTTCTGCGGTCACATCCTGGCTTTGGTGATGAAGTGGGACGGATGCGCAGACAGTTGGTAATATTCTGATTCACGCTGGGGAAGGCTGCAGAGATACCACAGGACGGGCGCGCGGCTTTGTTCAATTTTCCCGGCGTTCATAAATCACCCGCGCCGGGCGAGCGAGGGAGCAAGCGAGTGCCAAAAACGTGGAGAGAGAGGCCACGGCGGCGGCGGCCATTGCAGAGCGAGAGACCTGGGCAGCATCTCTCTGTGACTCATTAGTCTGAACGATTTATGGGGGACAGCAGCCATGAATATTAGACTTGGGGATAAGGAAGGAGCAAAAATAATAATAGCCATAATAATTACATACTCCTAAGTGTTGCGCAGTGGATGGCAGCATAGTGGATCTTTCTGGGGTGAAATTGAGAGGCAAAGTGCAGATGGATGAGTACACACCTTGCTCTAGGTCATGCCAGGGGCCCCAAGACCAGGGGACACTCCCTTTGGGGACACAGACAGCAAGTTTGAACAAGAGAAAGGAGGCGCAGCGTGGATCTTGAGCCCTTTTCCTTTGGTTTGTGGGGGCTGCGGGTCGAATGGTGGCAGAGCGCAGCTGCCCATGTGCGGCCACTTGTTCAACGTGCTAGGGGGCTCCGAAGCCAGGGGTCAGGGGACTCCTCAGCTATTTGATAGCGCCTCTTAGCGCTATCTACAGAATTGCAAGAAGGCAGACAGACAGTGGAGGGCTGGTTTGGGGCAGGCTGGAGCAAGAGGAGGTTACCTGGGTCTGGGTGAAAGGGGAGTGGGGACAGTGCTAGGTCTGCAGACGAAGAGAGCCCGCAGAATCCCAGGGGAGTGCAGAACTTCTCCAAGCCAGGGTCCGGCGCAAGGACGATTCTTTGCTCCTTCCCTAGCTTCTCCCACCGAGCTGACTGCCGGCTCAGTGACCATTTGTTGGTTAGAGGGCAAGAAAGGGTTGCAAATATTGTGAGGGACGAGATTTGAGTAGAAGCAAGGCATCAAGTCGGCTTGTGGCCACTGCGCAAGGCCAGGGACGAGATTTGAGTCGAAGCAAGGCATCAAGTCGGCTTGTGGCCACTGCGCAAGGCCAGGCTGGAGCAGGGTCCCTGAGCAGGTATTGTACCAGCCGGCGCCCCTCCCAGTTTCCAGCAGCCTTAGTTGGCCTGCTCTGAGGGACTAAGCACTGCGATAGTCCCACCAGCTCATTAGGACCTAGAAGGCACGTACCCAGGGTTGGATAAACCAGAAGATAAAACCTCCCAAGACTGCCTCTGGCCAGCGGACTGAGCCCGGGTCTGATTTCGCGCCAACAGAAATGAACTCTATTAGTGAGGTTTCAGGAGAGTCCGTGATTGAATGCTCCCAGACAAGGCTTCCTTTTGTTAGGAAAAGAAAATAAAGCGAGCATTCACATTCTCCAAGTTGGGGTGCCTGAGGAGAGCTCTCTGAAAGCAGCCCACACCACCAGCAAAGCCGCTTCCACCTTCTCAGCTTCCTCTCTTTCATTTTCTTTCCTCTCCCACCCCAACCCCCTCCCCCAAAAAAGAAAGAAAAAGGAGAAAGTGTGGGTGTGGAGATGGAGTACGTATTTATTTTACAAAAATAAATCACCATCTTCGGGCCATTTGTAGACTGGAACATTTCGAGTAATGAGTGCACCGCATGGACGAGTGCCCTGGCGACTCCTTGGTGTTCGAGTCACCCCCAGGGCCACCTTGGCACTTGCAGGAGCCGTGCTTCCCACTCTGGGCCTCCAACTCCCTTCTTTCGCAGCAGCCGCCGTTCACCCTCTGCTGTTTATTTGTCTGCAGAGCGCCTGGACACTGGAAAAGGCGATTCCCTGAGCGCCCGGAGTTGGAGACAATTCCTAGTTCAGATTTAAACATCTCTCTAGGTAAGCGCTACTTCAAAACTCTTCGCTGCGTGGGACTTTGCATCAGGGGGGTTGGGAGGAGTTGGCTCTCCACGGCTCCTGGCAACCGCGGCCTGTTGAAAGAGGTTCTGGTCAATATTTAACTTCAGAGGAGTTTGGAGTTGGATTCCTTTAAGCTGCTTGCCCTGCGAATGCAGGGCCTCAGGCAGACAAAGAGTCTACCCCAAAGCCAGCGATGGTCAGGAGAAATGGTTGCAGAAGGCAAAGATGGGCTGTGGAGAGTCAGAGGGGGTGTGTTTATTTCTTTCTGCAAGCCCCAAACAAACCACTACGCTGAACTTCAGGGCAAAAGCAAGTAAAGGCCATGGGTATGCGCGCCGCGGCCGCAGCGTGGGCTGCTCTCCTTGCTGACCGAGGCGACTGCGGAGGCTGGGAGTTAGGAAATTGTCGCCGTCGCAGCTGGCTGTTGAGGAAAACTTGTCTCACCGCCTTGCAGTTTCTTAGATCCTTTTGCCTTTTCTCAGGGATGAGAAAGATTGCTGTGTTTCTAACCTTTAGGCCTTCGCAGGCAGCCGGTCTTCTCCCTTCCTTCATCAGGGCTCATTCACGGTTCTTCCTACGGGGAAAAATATGCTCTTCTATGTCTTGGCGTTTTCTTTTCCTATTTGGAACAAAGGAAAACTCTTTTAAATTCTTTTCAAGCTCTGCCTTAATTTGTTCTCTTAGTTTGGGATGCAGGGAGGTAATTACTGTGGTTTATTACCTTGTAAAAGATCCATAAATTACGTGCCTGTTTGGGGGAGGGGCTGCTGGAATAGCATTCAAAACCATGGTATGAAGGAATGAGTTGGCTTTGTTCTTTCAGGAATTACTTATTTTTAAAAAGTTTTGAGATTTTGTTTTCTATTCCCTAGGCCTCAAACTTCCGGTAAATTTAGTCCCAAATAGATATCAGGTTGTTAATTAATTGCAACATGATATTCAGTGGTGCTCTAAGGCTGATATGGTGTTCTGGATACAATTTTTATTTTTTCCGATAGAAGGTAAACAGAGCAATAGTCAAGCTGGGTTACTTTCTCAGCTACTGTATGTCTGTTTATATCAAATGTAGACAAAGCGTTTCAGGAATTCGTAACTCCGTGTATATGATTTCCATCTCTGCAAACAACAGAACAATTGCATGTGTAAATAATTGCAGGAGTTTGGGGCCGTGTGTATAACACCATATACACATCCACATGTGTCCAGAGAACTTGGCTCATTTGTACTGCACTTGCACTCACAGGAAATATCTCATCTTAAATAAGAATCTATCATACACACACACACACACACACACACACACACACACACACAGAGTGGGCTAAGAGAGCCTTACCTGATGCTGAGTAGAAAATCCACTAGATTTAAGTAATGGAACAAAAATGTTAAGTGAATTTTTGACAGAGAAATCAGATTACAGTGTTTGAGTACAGATATATGTAATCTGCCAACAGCCTTGCAAATATTGACTAACGGTCTGTATCCCTGATTGCCTGCTTTTTCCACACCAACTTTCCCCCTATTTTGGCTCTGGTGACCAGGACCACAGCATGAGTCCCAGCCCAGGCCAGGTTAGAGGCCAGTGAAGTGAGTGAGGAGGGACTGGCAGCTGGATTTTTAAAAGGCCTGTAGCTTTGCTCCAGGAAACTGGATTGCAGAGTGGCAAAGGAGAACTGTCAGCTGCTGTTTCCCCAGATAGGCTTCCCAGGCCAAGATCTCTCATAGAGAAACAGCTTTTTTACCCCAAAGTTAAATGTCTTTTGACTTCTCAGATTTTTCCCTTCTCATCCCACCAAATCACCCAGTCCCACCACAAGTCATTAATGTTAATTGTTAAACAGCAGTTGGAGCATTAACTGGGATGTTAGCAGCCCTGTGGAGGCCCCAGGCTGGAGCTGAGAGATGCCTCTGGGCTTTGCTGGAGTTAAGGCATTTCTCTGAAGCAGTACCAATGACTTCTCTCATTAATTTATGGCTTTATTTATTTATTTCTGAGACGTAGGTAGTCTCACTCTGTCCCAGGCTGTAGTGCAGTGGTGTGATCTCAGCTCACTGCAACCTCTGTCTCCCAGGTTCAAGTGATTCTTTAGCCTCAGCCTCTTGAGTAGCTGGGATTACAGGCATGTACCACCACGCTGGGCTAATTTTTGTATTTTTAGTAGAGATGGGAGTTCGAGACCAGCCTCCATGTTGGTCAAGCTGGTCTCAAACTCTTGACCTCGTGATCCACCTGCCTTGGCCTCCCAAAGTGCTGAGATTACAGGCATGAGCCACTGCGCCTGGCTGACTTATGGCTTTAAAAGTTTCGATCTGCTCAAGACTCTTCCAAGAGTTTTGAAGGGGGTCCCTTCTCATCTTTGAGTTGATGCCTCTGCAGAAACTTGAGGGTGGGGAGGAGTTTGCCAGCAACACCTCCAGGTCCTTTTCTACGGTACCTGGTTAGCTGATTGTGAATTATTGGTGAGGGGGATGAGGAAGGCAGATAGCAGTAAGAATGAGAGGAGTGAGTTCTTGGGGGACAGGACAATGCTTTTTGGAAACCAGATCTTGCTCCTGTCCTCTATCCCCAAACCTGAGAGAGGCAGGTTTTCACTTTTACTTCTTACTTTCCAGCTTATAACATAGGAGCTGGAAAAGTTCACATGGAGGTTTTCTTCCAGCTACACCACAGATTGAATCTTATTGAAATATTGTCACCAGTTTAGGCCAGGACTTGCCTTCAAGGGATTAGGTCTCTTCTTTTATTATCCTTCTGATTTAGATAACCCATGACCAGGTGCTCTTACTAAGGGCCTTACATTTTCATCAGACCCCTTCTGTTCCTCTGCAGGGGAGGAGTGAAAGGGAGGAATCATGCACAGCCTCCTGAAGCTGCTACAAGTGAGTCCTCACACTTAGGTATAGCCAGCTGAAGACCATTCTCCAGAAAAAACAGAATATGGCCTGAGGATCTCACTAGCCTCACAGCACTCTCAGAAGTTCAGAAACTAAGAACAGGAAAGAGAAGATTTTTAGGCAGCGCATGAAACAGTACTATGCTGAAATCGGTGGGCAATGTCACCAGGCAGAAGGCAGGAGTAGGGGTGGGGGCAGCTTATTTGTTTCAGTTAGGTTCCTACTGAGCACAGTTGGTTCTCTACTGGTTTTCTCCTCAAGATTATTTTCAGAGTTCTGAAGAGGGATCTTTCTCATCTTTGAGTTGATATGTCTGGGGGTGGGGGGAGAATTTGCTGGTGGACACAGAATTGTCTTGGAAAATGGGTAGACAGACGTGCCTGTAGAGAGGGTTCCAGGTTGCCTTGTTAACTCAAGGTGCTCCAGTGAAGGTTGATTATTTTTCTTATTTTTTTTGGGAGGGGGTCTCTTGCAGATCAATCAGATGATTTCCTCTGATATTTTTCATCTTTAGAAACCTGTAGTTTCATGTATCACTCAGCTGTGCACTGAGGAACTGCTTAAGTTTGGTCAGGGCACTAGGTTTCTCCAGATTTTGCAAAACCCGGACCACACTATAGCCAAGCACATCTTTCCTCGTAGGCTCCCATTGAACAAAACCAGCTGGACTTGGAGGAGATGTTTTAACCTTTTGTCAGGTAATTATGGGCCTTTTTGGTTTCTCTAGTGGCTGTGGTGTATGGTGTGGGTGTTAGCAAACTCCATACAATGGCAGGGAGGGAGGAAGTCCGCTATCCAGGCCAGTTGTTTCTGGGCCTGCCCCTTGCCTTTTGATATACTGGCCTGTGAGCCAGAGGAGACTGAGGTGCATGGGTGTGCAGGATCCAGCTTGTCCGAGGGTGGGAGGCTGTAAGGAAAGTTAAGTGGATTCTAAAAATAAGAATAGCATTGCTGTACCCTTGTGTTTGGAGTATGTGTAAAGAAATATAAGTGGAGATAAGCTGTCTTGCATGGTATTCATGTGGGGATGGCCCCCAGCATTCTATTGCTTAGACAGAGCTCTTAAACTCAAAATTGCTGGTTGAGGTCCCCCACCGACCCTCCCTCAAAGCTAAATATTCTGTTTGGAAACCTAGTTCCTTTAGTGGTTCCCTATTTCAAATAAAAGGATTTAAGTTGACGTATGACCACGTGAGCACATAATACAGTGCATTATTGTGGCATTTGGAGCGGAGACCCAGGCAGGCTTCGCCTGTGATTACGTTTTCTAGATTCTCTACAGAGCTGGAGCTTTTCCCCAACCCCCACACACCCACCTCCTCCTTCTCCTTCCCCTTCTCCGGAGAGCATTCTCTGAGCAGGTTGCAGTTTTCAGCACTCATGGAGCCGTTCTGGGCGAGCTAGCTGATGGAAGTCGAGGGCCGTACCAGGAGGATGGAATTTATTTTAAGGTATTTCCGCTGATTGTTCATATCTAGAGTGAGTTATGGCTGTGAGAGACAAAGGTCAGGCGAGGAGACCCTGGCTCACGGACAGGACCCTCAGCCTCTCTCTTCCTTTGTTTCTCTTTTAGAACTGAAACCATTTGAAAGATTCCCAGTAGTGCCTCAGAAAGTGTTAGGGGTATAAATTAGGGGTATTGGGGGGCTACTAGGTGGGCCCAATGGCCCCCAGTGCAAAGGTGGCTTTGTCCACTGCAGCAGAGCAGGGCTGGAGTCTTGGGAACTGAGCCCAAGGCAGAAAGAGGGTCCTGAAGCCCGGTGCAGGCCGAGGTGGCCCGGCTTGCAGGGCTAGACTGCCCGGGAGGGGTGGGGGATGGGTGGGGGAGAAGGGAAATCTCTCCCCGGATGGCAGTGTTTTCAGGCAAGGGATGGAGGGTTAGGGCTGACCTGAGCAGCCTGAGCAGCTGGAAGAGGGAAATCAATGAGGGAAATGTGCAGATGTGCTGCCATTTTATTGATGATGCTTCCAGCCACTTTGTTTAGTGCCAGATTGCAGAGCATGCTCCCCCACAAGCCGGATCCAAGAAGCCAGACCGAGGATCTGAACTGGAGGGCCTGCCATTGTTTCCCTGAGCACCCTCTGCCCCAGAGGGATGAAGAAAGACAGCTCAGACCTAGGAGAGCCTTGGGGTGGGGTGAGCTTGCTGGATGCCCTGAGGCTCCTTATTCTAACATTCGGGAGACAGAGTAAAGAGGGAGCCAGGATTAGGTTTGGACTTCATCAATGTGCCTGGTCTGGGCATTCCTTGTATAGCCCCAGCTGGCTTGGAGAGTTCCAGAACTGGCCAGTGGGAGGGAAGTCCAGAAACAAGATTCCTCAGGAAGCAGAGGCAGACATCTCTACAGCTTCAGAGCTCCCAAAACAGAGCTGTAGCCAGGGTGGAGGCAGATGAAAGTTAGACCTCGTGTTTCCAGATTATTGGGAAAGCCCCAGCTAATTGGGCTTTGGGGACCCCACATTCCTGGGAAGGGTGGAAACTCCCTGGAAAGGTATAGGAAACTCTACTTTATTCTGCTCCTTGGAGTAGGGAAAGGGATGCTTATAAGGAGTCAGAAGTCAGATTTGTCCCTTTGACTTCTTAAAATATAGATTATTTATTTCTGTACTTGAAAAAAAACAAATCAGGCATCCCCTACTTGAGTGGGATTTACTACCCCAGAACGAAAGGGCCCTTCTGCCCTCCCCAATGCCGGCCTCGGCAGTAACTGTGTTTAACTGAGGCCCTTTCAAGTGCTCTAAAACACCCCTTGGAAATAAAATGTAAGCTTTAATTGCTGTTCAATTACTTGTCAGCATTTCATATGATTTATGACCCAGTTCTGGCGCATTTTTGACCCAGTTAAAGACTCATAAATAATATAGTTTCACTAGAAAGAATGAGAGAGGGAATAGAGGTTTGTTAGAGGCATCTTTTTATTGTCGATTCAGTGCCAGCAAGCTGAATAAATATCTAAGGATGGACTCTGGTTCTATATAAAAGCATGCACAGTGAGAAGCCAAGAGCCACATTTATAGAGCTCAGATTCGTTTCTCTTTCCATGAAAGTGCTAAAGTCAGTCCAATATATATAATGCTTAACTATTAGGTATCAAAAAGGGCTGATCCCCTTCTACCTCAAAATGGCAGCTTCACCCTCACAGGCAAGTACATTTCCTGAATAATTTTCCTCCCCTTCTGGGATTTTGATGCCTCTTCTTGCCCACATTATTCCTCACCTTCCTCCCCGGCTGCATAGCCTTGGAGCCGCCAGAGGCCCTCTCAGACGCCTTCAGGAGGATACCCCCTTGAATGGTAGAAAGGCACCACAGGCACATTTGCTGCTCCAAGTATTCTTCTAGTGCTGAGAAAATGTTTTCTTCTAGTCCTCCCTGGATGAGAGTTCGGGAGCCACGGGGATCTGGGGAAACTGGTGGAACCAAGGGGTCCCCTCAGTAAGGAAAAGCTCTGCGGTTTTGGTGGAGCCGGGCGAACTGCTGCGGGATTTGTATAGAAAGGGCTCAGCGGCAGCGGCCAGTAATTTCTGGAGATGGAAATCAACAACTGGTATTTTATCTTTTAAAAAAACAAACAGCAATAACAAACCGACAAATAAAAACCTTCCCTCAGTATAAATTATTATTTTAAAATCATCTCGCCTACGCTTGCTCCAAAGCCAGTCCTTTGGATTTCAGCAGAGCGGCTTGAGACTGGGGCACCGACCATCTGTACGCCAGGACGTCGGACCTTCGTCTTGAGGTCGGAGCCCCACTTCTACCCGCTGAGGCCCGCAGCCCGGGAGCCACCTATGGGGCGGATAGAGGCCCTGGCCGGAACCGAGCTTCTGCCCCAGATATCCCTGGGCTCCCGCAGCTCTTCAAGTCGGGTCCGCGCGTTTTGCCCTGCAGGGTCTTGGCGCCAGCGGAAAGGTATGCATTCCGGGCTCCCCAGCCCTTGCTCCGGCGCCCTCGGTCCCCTTGGCCCAGAGAATTCCTTCGCTGGACGGTTTTCACTGAAAGCTGGCCTTCCCAGCAGCTGACTTAGCTGAGAAGGCGGTGAGAGTCGCGTCAGCAGTTTGGAGGAGAAAGTGCGGGTTGATTATTGACCCACGCCTTCTTTCTTCAAATGCCACATCCGATCGGGCTGGTTTGAAGAGAAAATGCCACCGAATGGATTTTTGCAGCGGCTCTCACCTCCTACACGGCCGGCTACCCCTTTCAAGTTGCGCTGCAATATGCCATAAGGAGCAAGTGTTTGCTGTTTTGTGCTCTGTTTACAGCTTTGGGGCGCCGAGTCATAAATCTTGCCCAGCCATAAATGACAAAAACCATTGGTATGCATGAGGCCACCCTGGCCTGGAGTGCTTTTTGATTTCTCCCTTTTCCCCTGGCTTTGTTTTTGCTCTAAGGTGACACTTTGGCTCCTTGACAGTTTAAACATACTACTTATATTTTTAACACCTTCCTTTGAGAAGGACCCGCCGTTGACACCTTGGGATTGCAGGAAATCTCCATTTCTCTTTTTTGATACACTCATACCCTTGCAGAGTTTGCTTCTGAAGCTGGGGAGCTAAGGAGGCTTTGGGAGGACAACCATCCTCTTTCAAGTTGTGGCAATATTACCAGGCAAATTCGGGCCTTTCTTTTGCCCAGCTCAGCGTTACTCCATCCCACTAATTAGGAATATATATTATATATATAATTTAGGAATCCATTTGAGAAACCATGTATTCCCCTGCCGTGTGTGTGTTTGTGTGTAGATATGTATATTTGGAGTCAGAGCTTTATCTGCCTTCCCTATGGGTAAGCTGCGTGTCTGCACTGTGAAATGGGCACACAAGCCCTGCGATTCACGTTTCTAAACACCCTTGTGTGTTCCTGAGCCCAGAGCATCCCATTTCACTGCTGGAACAAGTGTCTGTCTTTCCCGGGGTACTTCCCTCCTGGCTGCTAGGATGTTAGCTGTTTCTGCCTAAAAATATAACCGAAGAGAGCCCAGGTAGCTCTTGGGGGTCTCTAGAGAGCCTTATCCCAGCTCCCCAAACCCCGACCCAAAGATCTGTTTGGGGATGGCAGGTGAAGTAAACTGGGCAAAGTCTGGGAAACTCACTTCTCTTGGTTCTCTTTCCCCTCACGGCACAATTGGAAGTGTCCAGGGCAGAGGAATACGTGGTTTCTCGAACGGATTCCTAAGAAATAGAGCCCAGCAAGAGAGCCCCTTTGTGAGAGCCCTTTGTCCTCATTAGCATAATTTTCCTGGACTTTAGTGACGCCTGGGAGCAGGAGAGGGAGGGAGTTGGGGGTGGGGGGAGGCTGCTCTCCCCTGGCCACCACCGAGCTCCCCTTCTCCCTCCGGTCCCTCCCCTCGCTTCAGCTCCATCCCCCACACCGGCCCGCGCTTCCCCAGCCGCCTTGGTCTCCCCTCCCGCCCGCCCCAGCACCCCCCACCGCACCCCCGGACCAGACGCTGCTCCGCGTGTAATATTCATAAGAAACATACCCAAGTCGGTGCCACTAGCCCAGGCAGAGCCCGGCGCCGCACTAGCGCTTATCTCCGGGCCGCGGCTGCTGCCCTCGGGAAGGGCAGGGGGCGGAGGTGTGGGGGAGGGGTGGGTGGGTGGGGTGGGTGGGGTGGGTGGGAGGGGGGGTCCAAGCCGCCCCAGTCGGCCCTGGGCGAGCAGTGCCGGAGCAGCGAGGCGGCCACGCTCTGCGCGGCGGCTTCCGGGCCTCGGGGTCTCCCGCCAGCCTGCCGTCTCGGCTGATGCTGAGGGTCGGTGCCCATCCTGCGCCAAGGGGACCCGGCCGGGCTGCCGAGCCAGGCCGGGGGTGGGAGCGGGTGCCTGAGCCACAGCCCGAGCCTGCGCTCTCGGCGCTCGTCAGAAGTTAAGGTAAGCAGGGCCGCAACCGGCCGCTCCCGGCGCTGAATGGCGGAGTTTACGTCTCGGTGATTTATGGCTGCAGACTTAAATCTCGGTTCAAGAAGAGTTCACAAGCCGGAGCTTCCTTCCCGGCAGTGACTGATACCCTTACACTTCGAGTTCAGGCCGCTTTCCCATCCCCGCCCCCACCTCTTGCCTCTCCCCTAGCCCAGCCTCAACTTCTCTGGGTCGGAGAGGGAAGGAGGGTAGGCAGGAGACTCGGGGCTCCTGTCCGAGGAACCTGCCTAGATCTGGGGCAAGGGAAGGCTAAGGGAGAGGAGGGAATGGGAAGAGAGAGCGATCTCAGAAGGACAGAGGTTGAATTTGGGCACATCTTCCAGAGAGACAATAGGGCTTGCTTCCTGCACTCAATGTAGCCTCTTCAACTCACTTTCGACTCTTGCACTTGGGGATTATTGTTCAGAAACGAATCTTTGTAGAGAAATCTCCCCTCATCCCCAGCCCTTGCTTGAGGGTACAAAGCAAAGTTTCCTGGCTGGCAGTTCTCCAACTTCTTTACTAGGTTGCAAACTTTGGGGGCTGGGTTGGGGTGAGGGGATGTATGAGCTCCAAGGTGGTGGTCTGCCAACTTCAAACAATAGGGGGGATTTTGGTGGGATCTCAGAGTCAAATTCATGTTTTAAGTTTGTGGGGGCTGTTGTATGCTCTTTGATTTTCACAGATATTTTTGTTATTTTGCAAAAAATGCATAACTTGATAAAAAGGCTTAAGTAGCAGGCTGGTATAACCTGTGATAATGGATTAGCAAGTCACTAGAAATATTGCATGTGCAAAGTCAGCTTAATTTTGTTTTATCTAATATCTTGCTGTTCAAGTGTCTAATTTTCCTAACCTGATGTTTTATTTTACACAAGCTTGGTATCTAAAAAATTTATAATGCAGACATTAACACTGCCAAATGTAATTAAGAACTGTTTTCAGTAAAAGAAAAGGAATCTGATACATTAAATTGCTATTCAGTTTTAAGTTTTATTTTATCCTTTATTTACTTTCAATCATGATATGTGTAGCTTCCTATTTCCAAAAGAGAAACAATGCTCCAGGGCTCATGATCACTGACAGTAACTCTGGATAAGGGATGCTGTAATTTTTAATTGAGGTTCTGGAAAATTAATTGTGCCTGTTTGCAGATGTTGGTCAGATTGTTGGCTTAATAATGAAATCTAAAGGAGTCCATTATTAACAATGAAATTATAATCATCTTCTGGTAGATGCAACACATTATCTTTTTTTTCTATTTAACAAAGCATCGAATATTCCTGGAAAACTTGAATAACTGGCACTCAATATACATAGTTGGGTTGAATGAAACCATTTTCTTTAGAATTTGTTATAATTTTCTTAAGTGGTCAGAGGGACTGACATTCTGAGTGTGTGTGTGTATGTGAATATTTGAAACTCTCATGGAACTTTTCTGTGCTGAGAACTAGAGGTTGACCATGCAATCGCTGAAAACAAAAAGAAAACATAACTTTTGCAAACTGCTTTCTAAATGAAAGAGGGTTGAGAAGGTTTTCAACTGCTTTTTAAATTCTCAGTTATCCTTTATCTGTTATTTCTGAAGCAGGTAAATAGGCCAAGTAACAAATATCAACAACAACAGCACACAAAGATCAGGAAACTCTGGCAGGATTTTATGGCTTGTGGTTCCATCCCTCGTCCGGAGCCAAGTGACCCCCATACATCAAATTACATAGCAGTTTCTAAGACAGAACCTATTATCGTTAAGTTGGAAAGAGAGTTCAAGCCGTGGTCATGGAGATGAACGCTGGTTTTTCAGGTTCCTGGTGGGTTGTTTTTTTTCTCTAATCCATCATGTTTTAACAGGTAGAATTTGATAGTCGCCCTGAATAACAGCACCTCAGAAAGTCCAAGACAGGAGTGTCTGGGAACCTTCTGTAAATGGGGGAAAGAAGTGAGGGTGGCTTGCTGGAAAGTGCCTGAGAAACAGGGAGAGAAAAGGAGTAAAGAAATCTCTAGGATTTGAGTTGCAACTTGCTGGTGGTGGTGGGGGGAGTGTTATTGTTGGTCGCTCCCCCTAAACACACACACACATAATGTGTGCCACCCAAAGTTTTCACTCCCCGCCTTTTTGGCCACGAGGGATCCATTTGGAGGAGATGAGTCATATCCCCAACAAGGTGAATTAACTGCCTTACAAGCTCAGCTTCTGAAATCCAGCATGGTTGGATGGGGCAAGTTGCCTGAATTTTTTTTGCGCAAACCTCTCTTGGGGGCAGGAAAGTCTTAAGAAGGAGCTGGGTGGGAAGTTACCCCATCCCAGGGCTCTTTTAGCAAACATCAGTCCTAAAGCGGAGAAAACATTGGCGACTCAAGTTCCCCTTTGCCTCTGTGCCCTTCCCAAGATTCCCAGAGTGGAGGAGTCCTGGGCCCTCTGGAGGAGGCCAAGGAGCAGAAACTAAGTGACACCCCAAGTTTCTTCTTCCCTGGAAAAGAAAACTCCCAGCCTTGTTTCTTTCTAGCCTATCAGGCCTTTCACCTTTTGGACCCCTGCTCCTGAGAGTCAGCTTCCAGCCCTCACTCATTTTCCTTCTCTCTCCCCGGAAAATCCCCCAAATCCAGACGCAAGTTAAGCAAATATTTGTAGCTGCCAGTAAATTCCAGCGGTTTTTTATAGCGCGGCTTTCTGCGCCTGGGGCCAAGTCGTGCTGCTAAATATTGCTGACCACTTTTTCTTTTATGGCTTTCATGTCACTTAGCTATTGAGAGTAAGATGGATTTGCGCGGAGCCCTCACCGCGCTGCGCTTCTCGCCCCCCCAGGTCTGTGCGGGGCGGCCATTGGCGGCGGAGTGTCACGTGACCGCGGGGGCGTGCCAATGTGCGCCCTCAAGGGTGTCAAACCGCTGTCAGAGTGTGCGATCAAGATCGTGAAACAACGCGATGCAAAAAGCGACCTACTACGACAGCTCGGCGATCTACGGTGGCTACCCCTACCAGGCAGCCAACGGGTTCGCTTATAATGCCAATCAGCAGCCGTACCCGGGGTCTGCCGCTTTGGGCGCCGCCGATGGCGAGTACCACCGACCCGCCTGCTCACTCCAGTCCCCCTCCAGCGCCGGGGGCCACCCCAAGGCACTTGAGCTGAGTGACGCATGCCTGCGCACCCTGAGCGGCCCACCTGGCCAGCCCCCAAGCCTGGGCGAGCCGCCCTTGCCCCCGCCGCCGCCCCAGGCCGCGCCCCCTGCCCCACAGCCGCCTCAGCCCCCACCTCAGCCCCCTGCACCCACCCCTGCCGCGCCTCCGCCCCCCTCTTCTGTCTCCCCCCCTCAGAATGCCAGCAGCAACCCCACCCCTGCCAACGCAGCCAAGAGCCCCCTGCTCAACTCACCCACAGTGGCCAAACAAATCTTCCCCTGGATGAAAGAGTCTCGACAAAACACGAAGCAGAAAACCAGCAGCTCCAGCTCAGGTAAAAGAGTACCTTCTGGAAGAGGGTCCTCTGGCCTGGCTGCGGCCCCCAAGCTACTGCCCACCATATCCAGCACAGCCTAGGCGCAATGGAGCATGTCTGGAATTCACTGCTCCCACACCACTCCCCACCAAAAAGGTTTTCAGAGTCTTTGCAACTTAGGGAGGTGATAGGCCTCTGTGGGCTGGAAAACCCCAGAGACCTGCGGGAGTCTCTCTGGACTTCTCCAAGGGCGAGTAGGGTCTAGTGTAGTTGGAATCCTTTCTTGCTCCACTCTTGGAATTAGAACCTCTGTGCAGGAACAAGCTGAGCTCCACTGTCCATCTTTTTAGCACAGCTCTTCTAATGAAACAGTGACATCCTCCTCATGCTGAAATGTGGCAGAATAAAAACAGGCCTAATCACCCTCCAAGTCAGAATCAATGCTTTGCCTATAATCAGAGCCAATTTTTGCTCCAGCAGATGGAGTGGCTGCCTTACCTCTGGGAAGACCCTACTCAGACTTAGTACAATGAAAGCAGCCAAAGATCCCTTGGGGGAGGGGGATGCAGACTTGTCATCCTAATGGGAACCACATGGGCCTCCTGGAAGTAGGCTCCACTAGAGGAAAGGTCCCAAGCCTTAGGCATCTTAGCATTTTGGTTACCTTTGCCCCTGCCTTCTCCAGTTGCCAGTGCCCTGCCCTGAGCCTGAGCATCTGGGACCTCCAGAGCTAGGATTTAGGGGGCCAGGGAAGACAGAAGGGCACAAGATTAGTGGACAAAAGCTGGGGCAGGCTGCTTGACAACATAGGAAACCCTAAAGAATAGGACCTAGCATGAAGGGCCTAGGCCTCCCCACCAGAAATGAATACCTTCAATGGGATCTCTTCCTTTGGGCAGAGAAGGCTTTCCAGTTTGAGGTTTCCAGTCTGCCCATCTCTTGGAATGGGCAGAAGAGACTCTTCCTGGGTAGAGAGAAATAAGTGGCCAGTAGAAGCTACTGCCTAATTATTGTCAGACAGTGTGGGAGGGAAAGAAGGTTTGAGTGTGTACATTAGGTTTCCCACATTTCAGTTACTGTGAACGGAATGGAGATGCTGAGACCGGCCCACAGGGAGGCTGTTGTCTGATAGGTCAAAGAGACTAGTAAATGCCAAAAAGTTGATAGCTCTAAAAAGAAAATCCAGATCAGGAAGGCAAACTGGGGGCGCTACTTCTCTGTCCTTTCCCCGAGAAGCTTATGATTGCTCCTTGGCTGAATGAGGGACTACCACTGTTTTACCCACCAGGAAAGAAGATAGCACCTAGTTCCTACTTCTCTCTGGGCCCTGACAGAAGGAGAAATCTTTGGGGCCTAAAGGAAGGAGGGGCCGGGCTGGGTCAGGGGCTGGGTCAGGGGCTGGGCGGGGCCTCGGCAGCCCCTGACGCCGCTCTTCCTCTCTCTGTCCTCGCAGGCGAGAGTTGCGCTGGCGACAAGAGCCCGCCGGGCCAGGCTTCCTCCAAGCGCGCGCGCACGGCCTACACGAGCGCTCAGCTGGTGGAGCTGGAGAAAGAGTTCCACTTCAACCGCTACCTGTGCCGGCCGCGCCGGGTGGAGATGGCCAATCTGCTGAACCTCACCGAGCGCCAGATCAAGATCTGGTTCCAGAATCGCCGCATGAAGTACAAAAAGGATCAGAAGGGCAAAGGAATGCTGACGTCATCGGGGGGGCAGTCTCCAAGTCGCAGTCCCGTGCCCCCTGGCGCCGGTGGCTATCTGAACTCTATGCATTCGCTGGTCAACAGCGTCCCGTATGAGCCCCAGTCGCCCCCGCCCTTCTCCAAGCCTCCCCAGGGTGCCTACGGGCTGCCTCCCTCCTCCTACCCTGCGCCCCTGCCTAGCTGTGCACCCCCGCCACCCCCACAGAAGCGCTACACTGCGGCAGGGGCGGGCTCAGGGGGCACCCCCGACTATGACCCGCACGCTCATGGCCTGCAGGGCAACGGCAGCTATGGGACCCCACACATACAGGGAAGCCCCGTCTTCGTGGGGGGCAGCTATGTGGAGCCCATGAGCAACTCCGGGCCAGCCCTCTTTGGTCTAGCTCACCTCCCCCACGCTGCCTCGGGCGCTATGGACTATGGGGGCACCGGGCCGCTGGGCAGCGGTCATCACCATGGGTCGGGGCCTGGGGAGCCGCACCCCACCTACACGGACCTTACCGCCCACCATCCTTCTCAGGGAAGAATTCAGGAAGCACCCAAGCTCACCCACCTGTGATGGTGGGCTCGGGGCTACGCGCCAGGAGAGTCTCCCCCACCCACCTTTTTGCTTTGGTTGCTTTTTTTTTTTTTTTTTTTACGTTCTTCCTGCCCTTTCCTTCCTTCTGCGCCCCCGAACTCCATTTCCCGGTTTCCCTGCTCTTTGGTAACGCATTTTTATAGTTTATGTGACGTAGCAATCTTGGTTGCTGGAATGGCTGTATCAGTAGCGATATTTATCTCTTCCTGCCCCTCGCTAGGCCACTGGCCCTGCATCCTTTACCTTCTCCACTCTTTGATCAGAAACAGGGTATATGAACAAATTTTCTAGTCGAGTTTTCAATGTGAATTTGTTCGTACATTATGGCTCCCGAGGGGAAGCGATTATTATTATTTTTTTTTTACATTTTTAGTTTTTTTTTTTTTTTTAATTGCACTTGTAAAGAGAGAGAAAAAAAATCAAAGGCGCTTTGAAACAGGGGCTCCCTGTGCAAGGATGACTAAGTGTAGTCTTTCCGTGTGTGTATGCTGGTGAACAGTCAGATTTATTTATATTTTTTTTGCAAGCATTGAATAATCTAAGTTTTAAATATTATTTATCCCCAATCCGTTCGTATTTATATTAAAGAAATTCTGTGCCCTGATTGTTCAGAAGGGTTCTTGGACCTTTTGTTCAACTGTGTATTGGCGTACATAGAAATTTTTTTTATTTGAAAGGGAAATAGAATTCCTTTAAACGGTAATGATGCAATAAAACCAGAGAAGATACAGCTTTTGAAAACAGTGATTTAGGTTTGAATCCGGCAAAACTGAAAAAAAAAAAAATCTGTAAACGCGAAAAATGCTAGATTTGTGTTGAGTTCTACATTCCTTGCTGCTCACATTCTGAGAAACAAAACAAAAAGAAATAAAGTTTTTATTCTGAATAATATCCTTGTTAAGAAGAGGTTCTTTGGCCGAAGACGTGGGTCTGCGTGGAATTCAGGCCGATGCGAGCCGGCCGAGCAGGCCGGGCGCAGCAGCCCTGCGGCTCCAGCACCCGGCCTGGCCAGGCTGTTCGCCTGGAAGTTCCGCGAATTCTCAGGATGGCGGCTGGGGCGCCAGGCGGCTGCGGCAGCCCTGGTAACGCTGGGCAGCCCGCTCGCTGGGCTGCCTGGTTCGCAGCAGCTGCGGAGGCAGGCCGAGGGCGCTGTGGCTGCCGAGTGCTGAGCATGATGGAAACAAAGGCATCCCAGCCCACCGCGCAGCGGGAGCGCACAGGTGCCCCTCGGCCGGGCCGGGAGATAACTCAGGGAGGTCTTCTGCTCCACACTCTTCCTTGGGCCAAAGCTGACCAGCTATTGCCTAAATCCCGGGATTAGCCAGCCGCACAGAGGATGCTGAGCACTTTCCGGGAGCAGTCGGACTCCTGGTCTCCTCTGGGAATGCTTCGCGGTCCATTATCGTGTCAGGAGGAAAGAATGGTTCCTAAAATCTGCACACGGAGCGAAACAGTTTGAAAGGGATTGAGGCTCACCCGGGTCTTCAGCAAATGGAGAATTGAGCTGGGGAGAGTCACCCTGAGCCAGCCCTTCCTCGGACTGCCTAAATCCCAGCATCAGTTTCCTACTGAATGTAGTATTTATGTAGTATTTGGCATTCTCTGAATTTATTTCCTCCCTCATTCCCTCCCAGCTTTCTTTTTATGGCCCCAGGGGGAGGGGGGAGAGCAAGGAGATCGGTATCTTTGAAATAAAAATGCAATTTTATAAGTGCTTTTTTCATTTGATGCTACAGGAGCTAAATATTACATTTCCACTGCTGGATTTAAGAGGGCTGCCTACTGACTGGCTGGTAGAGGCGAAATCAGGCGCAGTAAAGGGAAATATTTTAATCCTCAGATTTAAGGATTCCTGGAGAAAGGAACCAAATTCAGAAAATGCAAACCTCAGACCTGCATCCCCATCCTCACCCCCTTCAGAGCTAGAAGTGAGGAACCACTTTCACCTGGGGATCAGGAGCATCGGATGTGACAAATAAAACCGTATTCTCCCTGGATTGTATCTTTCAGAGGCAGAAGTGGAAAATGTCGCCATTTTGTTTGCAATCCAAAATATCCATCATCATGGCCTCTATCTTCCCCCTGTGAAGCTCCCTCAGATGATCCTTAGAAGCAGGCACTGGAGCCATTTCTGGGTATCTGCTGGGTCCCGTCAAGCTGCCTTTAGAGAAACTCCTCATGGTTTAAGGAAAAGGCTCAGAGGATGCAAAACCAGGCTGCTGTTTCTCTCACACCCAGAGGTGCTTTCTCCGTATCTGTCCTGAGATATACATAAATATCTCAGGTTGATAGATATATATAAATCCTTTTTAAAGAGTTTGGGCTGTGGGAGAAGTAGATTTGCTCCCCACACCTCAACCTTTGTGCCAAAATATGGCGCACCTAAAAATGCAGAGGCTGCACAACCAGGCTTTGTGAGAACTAGAGCTTCCCTTTTGGTCATGCTGAGCAGATACAGGAGTCTTCTTTTAAGTAATCAGTTTAGAGACACGTGTAAAATTATCTGGAAAAATAAGGAACAGCTGGGGGAGAGATCCACCTAAGGATGAAGATCTTTCAGGGATACCACTATTTAAACCTGTTTCTGAAATCTACTCTTTAACTGAGGGAGGGATGGTTTGGAGGCTTCCTCCTTCCCCCAAGGCTAAGGTTTGAAAATGAGATTCTAATATGATTTCCCATATCTTACCGGTCAAGATATTCATTTTGGCTTTCAAAGAAAATATTGATTCACCCCCAGTTTCCTAGATATTAAAAAGAAATCCTTATTAAAATATCTCAGGGTTAAAGTAATAGATTTGGGAAGATTTCAGTCTTGAGTGGTCAAAGAAAAGGGTTTCTTCCAGATGGTATTTGAATTAAGGCAGCTGAGGCGGGCCGAATGCTCTCACCCACGCAGCCCCTGACAAAGCCTCAGAGATATGAAGGCAGCGCTGCTCCCTCTCTGCACCTCCCTTCCCTTAAGCCTGTAATATTTTCTGGTAAAAGCAAATGCCAACAGCCACCATCCCAGAGTATGCAAAGCACCCTTTTTAAAAGCAGCCCTATAACCCTCTTCACTGCCAAAAAATATTTTTTAAAAGACTAGTTTTCCTTATTTACTTGCGTTTCTTGCTCTCCTCTTTGCTCGGTCACATTTTATCTTGGAAGGAGCTGGAAGCTGAAATGTGTTCTTAAGGGCTAGAAGCTGTCAAGGCTTTTGGTGAGCAAGATTGATCGCGCCCAGACTTCCTTCGGAGCTTTGTTTGGAATAAAAGCAAGAAAACTGAAAAACCTCACATTTTCCAAAATAGCATCGCTATCTGCAAGGCAAAACTCTGGGCTGGTCAATGATACAGGCCACTTTATATCTAATTTCCACCTCAAACCCTCTTTGGTGCCGGCCTCAGAGATGGGGTCCTGTCTCTGCTCCTTGGTTGGCCTTTCTTGTTTTCTACGTAAATTTTTCTCTCCCTCCATCCTCTCTGTCCCTGGCCATCAGAATGATTTATTTTCCTGCCACTGATGCCTGCCGGCCTGGGGGAGTCTAATCACTTGGTCCATTTCAAAGGAAGCAAAAGCGAATACCCATCCTTAGGGTTTGGGGGTGGGGGAAGAGGTACCTCCAGATCTATCTCTCAGCCTCCTCTCCTCTTTCTGGCTTGGATTTTTTTTAAAAAGTTATTGTTTGGAACCTAAAGGTGTTATCTTTTGAACCCTCTAGCACCGTCCAAGATGCGCTCAGTCTCAAGTCTCCAAATTGGAAAAAAGAGAATGAAGGAGAACGAAAACCTTTATAATTCCTCCTTGGGTCGCCTCCTCTCCCCGCAGCGCTGTTTCTCACAACAGAACCCGGAAGCAAACGTCCCCGGTGCCCAAGGATCAGGAAGGTGTGGGAAGCAGTTCGGGCTGCCAGGGAGCCTTGGCGGTATCTGAACCAACCCCAGCCCTCAACCAGAGCGACAAGGACAAGAAGAAGGGTAGAAAAAAAGAGAAAGGGAGGGAGAGAGAGGAACAAGCATCTTCTCTTTCCCTGCTGGTAACTTCCAACAGACTTCCTGGAAATCGGAAATACTCACCGCACCCGAGCCCTACGGGTATGAAACCCAGAATGCCAGGAGCCGCACACGCCTGCTCGGGGCGGCATTTCTTTGGCTGGTCGCCGCCCTGGCTACAGGGATTTGGACACATGGACCTGGGGTTGTTGTCTCGCACATGCATCTTTCTCCAGCCACTCCTGAGAAGTTGATGGCGCAGGAAGGTTGGGAAGCTTCGAGAGCCTCCTCCCGTTTTCCGCTTCCCGCCGGAGCCAGATGCAAAGCTGCCGTGGAATAGCCTGCTAACAATGGGCCGGGGGCACTGATTCTGGGCTGGACACTGGGAGGGGGGCGAGAGGCTGCGGGGAGAAGGGGAGGCGGACAGAAGAGAGAGGGAGGGAGAAAGGGGGAGAAGAGGAAAAAGTGGGAAAGACAGACAGACAGGAAGGAAAACAGAGACGAGAGAGATCGGTTTTGAGATCCAGGAACCTGTTTTAGGAAAAGTGAAAAAGGAAATGAGAAAGAAAAGGAGGTACCCCTCCCAACCAAACTCTCTTTTCTTCTCTCTTTTCTGTCTTCTCTCTCTCTCCATCTCTCTCCTTCCCTTTCTTTATTCTCCCTCTCTCATCTCCTCTCTCCCTCTGCTCCTTTCTCCTGCTTTAACAGAACTTATGTGGCTGGGATGCAGGGTCCTCGGGTGTCAAAACTTTGAAGATTAATGGATTACTTTGTTAATGACTGCAGGCGTCAGACTGAGGTGCTTAAATGATTTGTGAGGTGCGAGGCGTCTTCCCGACAGTCCCAAACAATGCACGGAGTGTGCGGGGGAGGCAGAGGGCAGCCGCTGGCGGGACCGACAGCAGGGCTTACACTCACACACATTCACACACTCACACACACACTCCCAGGCGCGCACACACCAGATCCTTGCAGATCAGGAGGTGCGCAGGCAACCTCGCCCCCACGCGCTCTGGGACATCCCCACTCACACCCGCATATATGTATTTTTGCCGTGAAAAAAGTGTAAATAAAGCCTCGCTGGCCCCCAATGAGGCGTTCCTTCCCGACTTTTTTGGATCAATCAAACAGACAGTGGCTTCTTTTGATTAAAGCCCAAATTGTCATTGGGCAGAAGCAATCATGTGACAGCCAATTCGGTCCAATTTCAACCTTGTCTCCATGAATTCAATAGTTTAATAGTAGCGCGGTCCCCATACGGCTGTAATCAGTGAATTAGAAAAAAAACACCCCAGCAGCGATCTTCTATGATAGATTTTTTTTTTCCTCTGCGCTCGCCTTTTTCCTGGGCCTTGCCCCCCCAAAGCCCCTCCAAAAGAGGGAACTTTTTCTCCGAGGGGGCTCCAAGGAGAAGGCCATGAATTACGAATTTGAGCGAGAGATTGGTTTTATCAATAGCCAGCCGTCGCTCGCTGAGTGCCTGACATCTTTTCCCCCTGTCGCTGATACATTTCAAAGTTCATCAATCAAGACCTCGACGCTTTCACACTCGACACTGATTCCTCCTCCTTTTGAGCAGACCATTCCTAGCCTGAACCCGGGCAGTCACCCTCGCCACGGCGCTGGCGGCCGCCCCAAGCCGAGTCCCGCGGGCAGCCGCGGCAGCCCGGTGCCCGCCGGCGCCCTGCAGCCGCCCGAGTACCCATGGATGAAGGAGAAGAAGGCGGCCAAGAAAACCTCGGTGCCGCCGGCTGCCGCCGCCGCTGCAGCAGCAGCCACCGGCCCTGCTTGCCTCAGCCACAAAGGTCAGTCCAAAGACTTGGCCCCAGGTCCCCGGGATCCTCTTCCTTCTCCGGGCTGCGCCGAAAGCGGCTGTGGGGGGAGGGGAGAGTGGGCTGGGAGAGAAGGAGGAGAGGGAGAGATGCTTGGTTGCCTTGTCCCTGCCCCTGTGGGCTCAAGAGTGGGTTTGATGGAGAGGAAAGGGGATCCTGCGCTCTACAATGAGACATACATATTTTTAGGAAGTGGGGGGAAACTTTCCCTAACTTGTGTAATGTGGGATGATTTATTTGAGTTGGAACTGACCTCTTCTTGTCTAGTTGTCCTAGAGTTTGGCTTTTTGACAGTAATGAAGAGTGATAGATCGCTCTTGCTCAGCTAAGCAGCTGATGCATTAATTATAAATTGTGTTGTGGCTGATATAAAGTTTGCTCCCGTATGAAGAGGTTGGGGGGAGCCACAGGCATGAATTCGAGAGAGGTGGAGGAGATGGGGTCTTCCCCGGCTGGGCTCCCAGGAAAGGCAGTACAATAGCTCTACTGCATCCAGGGGCGGCCATTTTGTTGCAGTTGATATTTTCTGCTATATTTATTCTCCAGTGGAATAACCGCGCTCGGACCCCTCCACCTCCAACTGTGAGTGTGTCTCTTGTTGGTTTCCCTTTCCGCAGAATCCCTGGAAATCGCCGATGGCAGCGGCGGGGGATCGCGGCGCCTGAGAACTGCTTACACCAACACGCAGCTTTTAGAGCTGGAAAAAGAATTTCATTTCAACAAGTACCTTTGCAGACCCCGACGGGTGGAGATTGCCGCGCTGCTGGATTTGACTGAGAGACAAGTGAAAGTGTGGTTTCAGAACCGGAGGATGAAGCACAAGAGGCAGACCCAGTGCAAGGAAAACCAAAACAGTGAAGGGAAATGTAAAAGCCTTGAGGACTCGGAGAAAGTAGAGGAGGACGACGAAGAGAAGACGCTCTTTGAGCAAGCCCTTAGCGTCTCTGGGGCCCTTCTGGAGAGGGAAGGCTACACTTTTCAGCAAAATACTCTCTCTCAGCAGCAGGCTCCCAGTGGACACAATGGCGACTCCCAAAGTTTCCCAGTCTCGCCTTTAACCAGCAATGAGAAAAATCTGAAACATTTTCAGCACCAGTCACCCACTGTTCCTAACTGCTTGTCAACAATGGGCCAGAACTGTGGAGCTGGCCTAAACAATGACAGTCCCGAGGCCCTCGAGGTCCCCTCTTTGCAGGACTTTAACGTTTTCTCCACAGATTCCTGCCTGCAGCTTTCAGATGCAGTTTCGCCCAGTTTGCCAGGTTCCCTGGACAGTCCCGTAGATATTTCAGCTGACAGTTTTGACTTTTTTACAGACACACTCACCACAATTGACTTGCAGCATCTGAATTACTAAAAACATTAAAGCAAAACAAAGCATCACAAAACAAAAACCCCTTTGACCAGGTGGTTTTGCCTTCTTTTATTCTGGGAGTTCATATTTTTATTTTATTTTCTTCTTGAGCTACCCCTTCCCTCCTTTAAATGTTGAGGATTTTCTGTTTAGTGATTCCCTGACCCAGTTTCAGAGCCATCTTATACAGGTTATTTTGGAGTTTTAGTTGTTTTAAACCTAACTCAACAACCTTTTGTGATTTCCTGTGAGCAATATATGAGGCCTGCAAGAAAGTGATCATATAATTGTATCTTCACTTTCTTTTTATTTTTGTATTACATTAGGATGCACTGTCACGCATATTTTTCATAGAATAAATTTTCCTTTGCTATAAGTAGCTTTCTTATTTTTCTCCCCCTCTTTTTTCAAGGCTCATATGATTTCTTTTTCTTTTAGTCTAACTTGGTAAATAAAATTATAGTCACAATTTATCTTCTTTTTTCAATTTTAATACATTTATTAAGGTGGCATGTTCAAAGTCTTCAATGGACAGCAACAAAACAGAAAACAAAGAAAATGGCTAGGGGTTCTAATAAGTGTTTTTGCTTTTTTGCTTCTTCTTCTTCTCCTCCTTCTTTTTAAAGGGAATAGATCTGATTTTCAATGCATAGGTTCAAGCCATAGATTTAAATTGGTAATAGAGACAGGATTGGGCAGTCTAAGATTTGGGCCAAGCCCAAGCTTTTGAAAGTGGAGAAATAAAGTGCCTACAGAAACCCCCAACTCCAGGAATGAGTAACATGGAGTTTCTTCAATAGCTACCAGTCTCCAGGTCAATAACTACGTTATCAACAATTCATTTATTTATACACTTTTGTTTCAAACATGTACATGTCAACCCCCTCCCCCATATATCCCTCCACATTTTCAGTGTGGTTGATTAATCTCCCAGCTGTTGATGGGTTCAGGCAAAACAGACCTAAAAGATAGAGAAAACAAAAAATAAAACAAAACAGTGATTACTATCTGGAAAATGCACCCCAGAAAAGGTTCTTTCCAACCCTGTGGTTCAGTCACTCTAGGATTCTTTTTTTTTTTTCCGGGTCAGAAAAATCAATATTTCATTCTTAAAACTGTTTACATTGCTAATAATGGATCACTAAGGCTTCGAAGCCAGGTTAGCAAGTTGAGATTTAAAATGGTGTGTTTCTACACCCTAGGTTATAAATTAAGACAGTTTCTAGAAAGAAAAGCACTTTAAATGAATATCAATAAAACGTGATCTAGGTTGTGTAACTGGGTTGTTGCTTCCCCCCCCCCTTCTTAGGTATCCCCATGTTTATTTTTCCCTTTCTAGGCTCTGTTCTTACCGTGAGAAAATGCAGCATGTAAACAACATGCGTGTGGGGCGGGTTGGTTTAAGAACCCAGCTCTTATCAGCAAAGGCTTGAAAGTTCCAATGAAAACTCGATGTTTCTTCATAGATTTGCTCCCTGCTTTCCCTTGCCCCTTCCTCCACTAAATCCCAGCTGCGGCGGGCGGCGGAGTGTAGGGACTATGGCTGGTTTCCGGCCCCAAGCTCAGCGAGGAGCAGGGCGTCCCGGCTGCGGCCAGAGCTGCGCAGCTCCTGGATGCGATTCGTCCTACGCTCATAAATCAAACGCTTTCTATGAATGAGAATGTCATCAAAGAGATCAATTGCAGGAACACATGCACAAATAAAAATCCTCTTACGTATTTGCCGGGGATCCCCGTCTGAAAGCATTAAGTTAGAAGGCGTTTAGTCATAATTCATTTTTATTGCTCTTTTAAAACAACAGCTTGGCTGAGCTGCGGATGCCATGAGCAGCTCAGGGCCTCGGCAGCGTTTTGTTTCTTCCTTTTTCCTTCCCATTCTAGTAAAAGAGCCCTGAAAGAGGCGTTTTGAGCCAAGCAAACCGCTTGCAGGCGATCATTTTAATCGTGACCAAGCTTGCCTTTCACCCACTCTCCCAAGGCGTTGCAAGAGACCAGCTCGAATCTTCGGGCGCTGACCTACTTGCCTAGAGGGCCAAGGGTCTCCTACTCCGTGGAACGGTCCCAGGATTTCTTGGGGGAGGGAGATTGGGAAAGAATCGAGCTACAGAAGCCTAACGGCTCAAGGCCAGGGGAGGCTGCCTTTGTGTGCCGTTCCCGGAGAGCGGCGCTCTGGGCTGCCAGCCTAGGCATAGCCAGGCAGGCTGCGAGCGCCCGGCCTGCCGGGAGCCGGGAGCAGTAAACAGAGGAGGGCGGCCGCGGGCCTGTATGCTAGTGCAAGCTCGTAATCCCAAGAAAGACACTCCACCCAAGATGCCCCCGAAAAACGGCCAGGAGAGAGGAAGAGAGGCTGAAGGAGAGCAGCGCCGAGACGGCGAACTAGCAGAGGAGGGAGAGTGGCTCCAGCCGGGGTCGGCTTTGTGGCAGGCGCCCTGCAGCCGAAGTGGTCCTGAAAACCCAGGCTGAGGAGGACAACCAAGGTACAGGAATGAGGCAACGGGGGAAAATGTACCAACTTGCTAGCTCAGGCTTGGAGGGAGGAATACTCCTACCTCTTCACATCCTGTCCCCTCCCCCACAGAAGTTCCTTCTCTCCCCACTGCGGGAAGCTGGCGCTCCCAAGGAAGCCGCCTCCAGGAGGACCGCCTTGCCTTCCCCCTTCTCCAAAACCAGGATTCCCAGGAGCTGAAACTGGGGCAGTGGTGACCTTTCCTGCCTGTGCTCCCTCTTAATCATGCTTGGGATGGATCCAAGTCACCGAGAAATACCATTTCAAAAGGAAATGTTTGGGGAGCATGTTTCATTGCTACTGAGAGAGCCCAGGGTCAACGGCTTGCATGGGTTTTCCTTCTTGAGGGGACAGTTTTCGGGGGAACCTCAGTAGTGGAGAAGAGAATAAAGAAGACTGAAATGGTGACTAATATATTTGAAATGTGCCTGCCTTGAAAAAAAAAAAAACTTCCTTGTTCTAACAGGGGAGGAAAGTCTGAAGGAGAGTGGAAACCCCAGACCCACATACATTCCTCAGTATAAATTTCATCTGTCTGATTCCAACTTTGTACACATGGTTGGAGAAAAATTTATACAGCATTGGCTGCAAAGCTTCTTGGATGATCTCTCGATTTCTCCTACCCAAGATTGCATCAGTTCTTGATCTGTTTGGGTTTTTCTCTCTACAAGCCCTGGGTTAACGTGAAACCTAATAGTAAACAACAATTAACTACCCCATCAGCCTCAAGGTAGAAGGAGGGTGATGGGGAACAGTACCCCTGGCCTGGGATGGCACTCAGATTTGCACGAGTCTTTCTAGGCAAAGACTAGAAGGTTCTCATAAGCAACTACACAGTCCGTTGGAAAGGGGAGGAGGTGTCGTTGGGGTAAAGTGTTCCGTCCACCATCAGCCATTCTGTCCACCGCCACTCCCACCTGCCAGTCCCCACACCCACTCCAGACATGCAGCACAATGAGGGGGGTTATAAAAGGAAGCTCTCTTTTTCTTCTAACATCCCTCTCCAGAAAAAGAGGAACGCGAGGGGAGTTCAGCGTACTTTGCTGGAGCTGTGGATCGGCCCTGTGAGGCCCACGCGGGAAGCACACAGGCTCCTAGGTCTCCGGGCCCCGGCAGATGGCCGGCAGCACACGGCCTGGCCCCAACGCTGGTCACGTCATCTCTCTCCCCCGCCTCCTACCCCTCAAAATCCGCAAGCGTCATTTCTCCCCCGCCTCCTACCCCTCAAAATCCGGCGGCCGAGTAGCTCCGCATCCCGGAGGGTTCCCGGTGGAAAACTGAGTGGGGGAGACAAAGGGGCGGAGGGGGGAGAGAAAGGGGCGGAGGGGGAAGAGAAAGGGGCGGAGATCGAGGAGAGAGGGAGGGTGGGGAAGAAAAGCCCGGCCGACCAGGGCGTTTTCGGGGCTCTTCCGCCTCCGCCCCCGCTCCCCTCCCCCCCCCAGTCGAATTACAGAAGCTCGTCATTGCCATGCTAATGACGAGCAAGGGTAGTTGGGAGAGTTTCGGAGACCAGCCTGGAGAGAGGAAAGTTTCTTTCTTGCCCTCGTCTCCTTCACGCTCACCCGAGTTCCTCCCAGCCAGCCCTCCGCGCTCTTCCTTATCCATTCCGAGCTTGGAGAGCAGGTGGCCCGGCCTCGCCCTCCACCACGGTTTTCTGCGCTCCTCACTGTTCCGCGCCTCCAAGCCCATCCTCAGAGCAGAGGAGGTGCCCTGGGAACCCAGGACACTGTGTCAGCCGGATTCCCTGCCTCTCCGCGCGCTGCAGGCTCGGCCCGCGTACTTGCGGCCACCTGGCCCACTGATTCCCGCCCCGAGAGAGCCGAGAGGCCTCTTCCCTTCTCACCTCTCGCTAGTTCATCTTTCAGTGCACGGTGGGGAGGAGGAGGGGACGGGGACGGGGACGGGGGCGGGGGACACCTCCCCGCCCCCACCTCCCGGAGGCCGGTGGGGGAGGGAGCAGCGGAGTCGGGCGCGCGCAGAAGGCAGCCTCTGCTCTCCTTCGCCGCAGCACTCCGAATCGGCCTTTGCTGTCGCCGCCGCAGCTGCCGCCGCCTGGGCTGCCTGGGGGGGCGACTGCGCGTCACCTAGACGGAGGAGCGCCGGGGATTTAAATGCCACTGAAATGGTGATCTATCACCGCGGAAGCCGGCAAACTTTTGCAGGAGGCTCAGCCATTGGCTGACACCGTCACGTGCCCCTCCCCTAGCGTCCTCCGCCCTCTTGCCCCCCCTCCTGCGCACTGTACATTCATAACATTTTTCTTCTCTGGTTCCATGGAGGAAGTGAGAAAGTTGGCACGGTCACCCAGGGCTTCGCAGGACCAGGTCACTCAGTGACAGATGGACAATGCAAGAATGAACTCCTTCCTGGAATACCCCATCCTCAGCAGTGGCGACTCGGGGACCTGCTCAGCGCGAGCCTACCCCTCGGACCTCGGGATTACAACTTTCCAGTCGTGCGCGGTCAGTGCCAACAGCTGCGGCGGCGACGACCGCTTCCTAGTGGGCAGGGGGGTACAGATCGGTTCGCCCCACCACCACCATCACCACCCCCAGCCGGCTACCTACCAGACTTCCGGGAACCTGGGGGTGTCCTACTCCCACTCGAGTTGTGGTCCAAGCTATGGCTCACAGAACTTCAGTGCGCCTTACAGTCCCTACGCGTTAAATCAGGAAGCAGACGTAAGTGGTGGGTACTCCCAGTGCGCTCCCGCTGTTTACTCTGGAAATCTCTCATCTCCCATGGTCCAGCATCACCACCACCACCAGGGTTATGCTGGGGGCGCGGTGGGCTCGCCTCAATATATTCACCACTCATATGGACAAGAGCACCAGAGCCTGGCCCTGGCTACGTATAATAACTCCTTGTCCCCTCTCCACGCCAGCCACCAAGAAGCCTGTCGCTCCCCTGCATCAGAGACATCTCCAGCGCAGACCTTTGACTGGATGAAAGTCAAAAGAAACCCTCCCAAAACAGGTCAGTCCTGCAGGTTGGTGGATGCTCCTTGATTAATCTGGAAGGCTGATATGCTTAATTTCCAAATAAAATTAATAATCTTTGTTTTTTTAAATAAAAGGCTTTTGTATCGAACTAGTGTTATAGGGCATGAAGAGCATGGAGAGGGTGCCCAGAGGTGTTGGGGCAAAGAAGCCTCAGGGACTGTTGTGTTTTCAAGGATTTTATACATTTGGGAAGAAGGAAGTGTGTGGGGGTGGTGATTGTGAAGGTAGTGTTCTGTTAATATCTCCAGGCTCCATTAATCACCGTCTGACCACGCTAATGGTTGACTTCAGGTTAACACTTTACACCTCATCATTCACCCTCCACAGCCCGATTTGTGTTGAGTTCTTGATCCTTCCTTTATCTGAGTGTTGCCACGAAGTGTGTAGGGCATCTCAAGTCGATTTAAAAATTTTTACCTTTCCGTCTCATGGCTTCCCACTTTGCCCCAGGGAAAGTTGGAGAGTATGGCTACCTGGGCCAACCCAACGCGGTGCGCACCAACTTCACTACCAAGCAGCTCACGGAGCTGGAGAAAGAATTCCACTTCAACAAGTATCTGACGCGCGCCCGAAGGGTGGAGATCGCTGCCTCCCTGCAGCTCAACGAGACCCAAGTGAAGATCTGGTTCCAGAACCGCCGAATGAAGCAAAAGAAACGGGAGAAGGAGGGTCTCTTGCCCATCTCTCCGGCCACCCCACCAGGAAACGACGAGAAGGCCGAGGAATCCTCGGAGAAGTCCAGCTCTTCACCCTGCGTTCCTTCCCCGGGGTCTTCTACTTCAGACACTCTGACTACCTCCCACTGAGGCGGCACCAGCCCCAGACCACAGCCCAGGCATCTTCTTGGGCTAGGACTTCTTACCCAAAGCACATGCTTAGCTTACCTTTCTTTCCATTTACAATGTCTTTCTTTCTTTCTGATCCTATCTGGGAGCTCCTGGCCAGGATAATATGTTTGCAGATAATTCTGGACCAGAGACTTGGTGAGGGTTAACACCTTAATCCAGATTGGGTGCCAGCATCAATTTTCTGGTGGGCCTTAACATCCCTCCTGCTTTTAGGAGAATTCACAGAACCTGCTGTTTCTTTCAGATGCCCTTTTGAAAAATAGTTCCCTTTGCCAACAGAAACATGCCAGAGGGAATCTTCTCATCTTTTTATCTAACTATATGTACAGCTCCCTTGCCCTTGAAAGTAGGATATAGTGAAAGAGAGTCCAGGAGCTCACGAAGAAGAGATGCACTATGTGATTACACAACTAATTCATCCCCTAATTTAATTCAGTTTCCTGTGTGTGAGTTTGCTGGTTGTAAATACTTTGTCCTGAGAGATTTATCTTTATGCAGATTTTCTAGAAATGTTTAGATTAGGTTACTAAAACAGGGTGGGCAAACTCTCAAAACTGGTACAATTTTATATGTGCTTATAGGTGAAAGAACAAATTCCCTCATTTAAACCCAATCAGATGCCTCAGAGGGTAGCCTCAATTTGTTCTTACAGTTAAGAAGGCCTGGAGAGCACAAAGTTTAGAAACCATGCTTCCTGTGCTAAGTCTCTCCTAATCCCTATACCTTTCTTCTCCGGCCACCCTCCGTTTAAAATTTGTGCTGGATAATCCAGAACCTAAAAGTATTATTCAAACCAACTTCTTCCTTCCACAGTTATCTTAGTTGGATATGTTGTATTTTCAGCTCACTTGTTAATGTGATGGATGGCACAACGAATGTATATTTTGTGTGATTCGTGAATAGTCTTTTGCATGTCGCACCATGTTTGATGTTCCCGAAGTACCACACTGAGTTCTATCAGTTATCCTTTGTGAGCCTATGATATTCCCCATTTCCTGTACAATCATGAACAGCTCTGAGATTCTAGAGTGATATGATCCAGAGCAGAGTTTACGGGTCTTAGGATGTCTGTAATAAATAAATATACTCAAGTTTCAGGTATGCTTAAGCATCCGTGTATTTGGCTGGGCTACAATTTGTTAATTCCTACATTGGCACATTTCATGTGGGAAAAGGGAGAAAGGTGGTAAATATTTTCAGAGATGAGAGTTTTCTTGAATAAAAGTTAATGTTCTCCATTATCATGTAGCTGAAACTCCCCCATGAGTATAATTTCCCCTAACCAATGTCTGTTTAATAGGTTGATTCTCTTTAAAATAACAGCTCCTTTATTATAATCAAAGCTCATAATGAAAAAAAAAAGACTGGTGAAGAAATTTATGAAGCAGATTTATTTTTGAAACAAACACAGGTACTTCCTGGGTCAAGTGCTAACCTTTTCACCTCCAACTGGATGTTGACGTATATATAAACAGAACTCCCTTCAAAAGCCCAAACTGTCTTCAGTCTTTCCTCACATCAGTGAACCAAGGGCTAAGAGATTCACATTTAATTAGCTCCAGTATAAAGCTGTTGTGAGTATGGGGCCCTCATTCCACTCCTTTTCCTTCTTTTTGGGTTGTCAGGCAGAGTTCCAATATATTCCACCCTTTAAATGTACTGTTTTTAGTAAACCCTTGCATCCCTTCCCCCATTCTTCCTGTCAACATATATCCCTTCCTGTAGCTCTTCCCCACTTCTTCCCCATCTCTGGGTTGCACATCTAATTCCCTTCAGACTCAGCTTTGATTTTATAGCCATCATGGCTGTAATGGATCCACAGTTTTAATTCCATGCCACATAACCCAGAAAAAAAAAAGTTATTTTCTTCTCTGGGCTCAACAGATACTTCCAGGTGAACTTGCGGAAGCTACCCTGAAGTCTTTCAATATGCAAGTTGTTTCTGACCAAGGAACATATCTGCTCTCAAAAGAGGAAGCCAGCAAATGAGAGTTAAAAGTGGCTCTCCTCCCAGACCTGTTTATCACTTTCCTTTACTTTCACATATTTTTGGAGGCATTTTATTTAGCCCAACAGTAGAGCAGAAAATTTACAGCACTGAAAACAAATACAGACATATGACTTCCTTCCTCTTCAAAGAGTGTTTCACAAAGGATAGGCTGGAGGAGAAAAACCCTACAGAAACTTGGAATTTGCAGGCCGTCTAGAGCATTCGTGAGAATTCCTGCACTGCTCTGTCAAAGGAGAGAAGCCTGAACTTTGCAGGCGCAGTTGCTGCGGCCATATCAAGGGCGCCGGGTGCCCTCCCTTCAGCTGCTGGGTTCTGAGGTTGCCTGTAAAAGACTCAAGTGGTTGGAGAAGAACTTCAAAGACGGTCAATCCTTTCTTTCATTTCCTGCTTGGCCTTATACTGTATCTTTTGTTTATTAGTGTAAGGCCACACAGCAAAACAGATGGCTGGTTTCCAAATACTTTAATGTGTTAAAGTGTCATTTGCATGCCACTGGCTCCATTTCAATATCTAAAAGCAGGGCACACTGGAATCCCACAGATTTCAGTCTTTAAGGTGATTTTAATGCAGCAGAGAGAGAGAACAATAAATTATGGCTAACCATCTCTAGCTTTCTCTAGATCATGGAATAAATCAGTTAACAAGCAATGCATTTAGGAAACATTAATACACCTTTCAACAAGGAAAACATTTGTATCTTTTTAGCTGTCCCAATCGATTAAATCAAAGGTGCTTAACACATCCCATTTCAAGGTCTCTCTTTTTCTGCTTTCGTCTCTGAGCACAGTTAGCTACTTGAAAAATGACAGTGATAGTAACTGAAACAACACACAGTGGGAAAACTGAAAATAACATTTTATTGATACATTTAAAAAGAAAACAAGTGTCTCAATTAGGCACCTGGGATAATTGCGATATAAAATTCTAGTTTTCTAATTCTTTTCCTCACTTCCTCTACATTTAGCCAAAGTACTCCCCAAATACAGAGTGTCCCCAAACTAGGCTAGTGGAGGTCTTGCTTTGGCTCTGAAGTCTGCTCTGAGTTTCACCTTTGAAAGTTTACTTTTGGAGGCTATTCAAATGCAGTGGTGTTTTCCTCAGGGGCAATCAGATTCTAACCGATCAATATTTACTCAGTCTGAAAGGGTTGTTGAAAAGGCTGCTAACAACAAACTGCTTAGCTGCTCACCCCTGTTTAATCTCAGGTTCACCGAAAGTTCAAGAAGAGATGAATGCAGTGATGGGTCACTTTAGAATGAGTCCCAGCAGTTTATCTGAGCTCTCAGTTAAAGGCAACAATTATAGTTCCATCCCTCTTTGGGAAAGGGGCAACTTTCCTATTATTCTTTTGCTAAGCAATGTTTACTAGAAACTTAAAACACTTTCCTCTCCCCTCCTGGTTCTTTTCTTTTCTTCCTTGTTTTTTCTTTTTTTTGGAAGCGTCCAGCTGCCCTTTCTGCCCCCTCTTCTAGTTTTCTGTTAATCTGTTAGGTTTCATTTGACTTTAAATAAATTACATCAAATATTTTTAAAATGTTAAATTAGTCTGACAGAAAAGATCTGATTTATTTCAGGTGCCATGAGCTATGAAATGAAGCTCTTTGGGCCATTAGAGTTTATCTTTGTGAAAGTACAGAGCAAGATTGAATTGAAATCCATTTGTGTTTGAGTAATATTGACAATCAGAGCCCCAATATCAATCTGAGATGGCTGTTGAGACAGGAGTGGAAAAGGGGGGAGGGAGAATTGGCTTGCACAGAAGCAAATACCTCAGGTGGAAAGTCAACTTTAAAATTTTACGCCTACCTAATGCATGCACTATTGAGAGATGAAAAAGGAAGACCCAAGGAAGCCAGTGGGGAATGGTGAGTAGAAGATGCTAGACACTGAAGCTAATTGCTATAGCTCTTCAGAGGTCAAAGTTCATGTAATCACTGCATAAATGCATACTAAATAGGGATTTATTAAGCTTTCCTGATGGCTGAGCACGTCTGTGAAAAATGGTCACTGCTGTTTGTGTTTCCTCCTTAAGAATAATCATTCTTAAAGTAGGCATTTCAGGCTTTAATTTATTTTGAGAGACAGGCAACCTCTCTGCTTAAAAATTTTGAAATTAGTGCATGAACAGCATCTTTATATTGATTGGATGGGGCTGTAAAATACCTCTCTCACACTTAGAAACGCTATGGCTTTTTCAGTACATACAAGAACACACATTAGCATGCCACTATTGGATAAGCTAGACACTGGTCAACTTCGTTGACCCTCTGCCTTAGATAAGTCTCCTTTGTGCCTGCATTTCGGACAACACACAAAAATTCTGCCTTAGGACTCCTTGTGCCTAAATGACCAGACTTGAATGGGATCCATATCCCTAATCTCTTACTCTATGGATCAGAAACAGGCACCGACAGGTGGATTGGTTTGAGAGAGCACAGTCAGTATCCATACTCTTACTTCCTAAACAAAAAACAGGGCAGCTTAGAACCTGAGTTCAGTGCACTTTTAAATTCTAAAATCCTGATTCGATTTTGTCCCTCCCTGATGTATTCTATGCAATTTATTTTAGGCTAGATATGATTTATTTTTTTTCTATTTCTGTTTTACTGACCATTCACTCAGCCAAGTACTTGACTTTGGGACTACCGAATCTTTGAAACAACCTCTGAGTCGAATACTTCTGCCATCTTTGAATAATAAAATGTGCTACTTATGTTTAAAGACATACATTCTTAAAATATAAATCTAGAGGGCAGGTTAAGTTCAACACACACATATATTTTTATTTTTAAACTTAGATGGGAAAGAACACATGAAAGAGGGGCTGCCTGCACACAAGTTCAACCTCCATTAAATTGTCAAGAAGTATCATCTAGAAAGGGCTTCAATATGCAAGGGACATTCCAGGAGGGGTTCTAACTCTGAAACTTAAAAATGTGTCTGCTTTTTCTGGCTAGTTTGTAGCGCAGCATACCTCCTAAATTGTTCTGACTCATAATTCTTAATTTTTTCCAAGACTGACTCATTACCTAACACACACTCGCCCCACCAAGCCCAAACGATTAACATAAAGTTTCCTTGCAATACAACTTTCCACATTCTCCTTCATCTCATCGCCATGGGATCCTACTGATCTCAGCAGAACCTGTTGCCCAAAGGGACATCAATGGTTGTCAGTGTTTGAAGAGCTAAGCTGGAATCCTCAGCGTTTTAGTGCCTTATTTTTAACACCGGCCCTCAGATACAGCTGACCTTCGATTGCAGAACTACAAACAAAAAATCAATTAAACAAGTATGTTCAGTTGGCGCTAGCTTCTAAACACCTTTGTTTTTTTTTCCCCCCTTAGGCAACTCTAAATCCTCATCTTGTCCTCAAAACATCCTTAAATAACTGCATTTTTAGTATATTGGAAATAAAAGACAAATGTCTCTTTTTCAAAGTGTTCAGACACAACTAAAACACGTGTCTCCATTTTTTAATCAGCTCATTAAATTTTACTCTTGTATTAAAAACGAGTTGGTAAAATGTCTAGTGACGAGGCTAATCTATAGAAATCAGATTGTTTTGTATTTTCATTTAGGCTTGTGTGGTTAATTGGTTGGGAAAAAATCCACAAATACTTGCAACAGAAAATAAAACATATTTAGTGACTTTTGTTTCCTTTTCAAACTGAGACACTTTTTAGCCACGGTGGACATTTTTACGATTTATGACCCACTGCGTTCTAAGTCGCCACAGAACCGTAACAAGAATGCAGAAAGCCACGATTTAAAAAGGTACCCCCCACAACCTCCAACCACCGAAATATCAGCAACACGGTTCTGACAAAGTATGCACGGGAATTTTCCCATTCTGAGGAAAAAATGGGGTCCTTCCTTTAGGACGCGCAGGGGACAGCTTTCTAAGGCTTGGAAGAGGTCGGTTCGGGCGATTGAGTTGCTCCAGCAGCGGCTGGCGGCGGGAGCTCCGGCTCTGCCGGGGCGGCGGGGAGCGGGCGGCCGGGCCGAAGCGACTGCTGGAGGAGATGCCGCGGCCCTGCGGGGATGCAGGCGAGCCCCGAAGCCGAGATCACGAAAGCT